CCGTGTGGTACCCATGATGTGAACATAGTGACTCAGTCTCTCCATTTGTAATAAATCTATTCAGATTTTACATCTGTTCTTGAGTCCGTTTTGGCAGTCTGTGTGTCTTAGGCATTTATCCATTTCATCAGGTGTCCAGTTACCAACATCAGGAAGGAAGGAGGGGAGGGGAGAAGGATAGCACCATGTAAGTGTCCGCATGCAGATCTTGCATGGGTTGTGTTCCACCCCTGCCTAAGTGTTTACTTTTCTCTGGAGCAGCTGTAAATGGAATTGTGCCTAAACTTCCGGTTTTCACATGTTTGTGGTCGGCATGTAAAAACATGATTGAGTTTTCCGGACTGGCCTTGCTGAACTCACTTGTTAGAATTTATTTTTTGTAGATTCCTTAGGGACTTCCGTTAAGACAGCCTGCCCTGTGCCCTGTTCACCGGTCTTACGTGCCAGTGAACATTTCTTTTGTTCCTATCCGTATGCCTTTCACTTCTTTTTCTTGCCTTATCATGCTGGTCAGAAGTGCCAGTACTATTCTGGGTCAGAGTGGTAAGAGCAGGCAAGCTTGCCTTGTTCCTGATCTCGGGAGAAAAGCATTCAGCCTTTCACCACTGAGTCTGATACAAGCTGCAGGGTCTTCTGTAGATTCTTGCTGTCAAGTTGAGGGAGTTCTCCCTCCGTTCCTAGTTTGTTGCAGGTTGTTTTTTAATCACGAGTAGGTGTTGGACTTTGTCATCTGCGTCTATTGAGATGATCGTGTGGTTATAGTAACATGGTGTACTACACTAACTGGTTTTCGGGTAACAAGCTAACCTTGCATCCCTGGGGTAAATATCACTTGGTCTTTTTATATGTTGCTGGATTAAGTTTGCTAACGTCTGGAGGATTTTTGCAACTGTGCTCATGAGAGATGTGATTGTGTAGTTTTACACCATTTCTGGTACCATTTTTGTATACTTATACCATTTTTAAACAATTATCTATGTAATGACCTTTACTACTGTTCCTTCTATCTTCATGTGATGTCACTTCCTTTATCCTAAAAGATTCGCTTTGGTATTTCACGTAAAGCACGTCTGCTACCAACACATTCTCCCTGTCTTTGTTTATCTAGGAATGCCTTTGTTTTGCCTTCATTTTTGAAAGATAGTTTTGCTGGATGTAGAATTATTGGTTGCCTGATTTTCTCTTTCAAAATCTTAAATACTCCTCTGCTCTTTGGTCTCCACTGTTTTTTAGGAGAAGTCATCTTTCATCTTATTGCAGTTTTCTTGTATCTGATGAGTCATTTTCTCTTCCTACTTTCAAGATTTTGTGTTTGTCTTTTAGCAGTTTGACTATGGTGTGTCCAGGTGTGAATATCTTTGTATTTATCCTATTAAAATTCTTGGATATGTACAGTAATGTTTTTCATTGAATTTGAAAAGTTTGGGGCCATTATTTCTTCAAAAACTTTTTCCTGCTCCCTTTCCTCATTCCTTTTATCTGGATGTGTATGTGTGATATATATATGTTAGTGTGCTTGTGGGTATCCCATGGGTCTCTGAGGTACTGTTCGTTTATGTTCTAATTTTTTGTTAAGGGGTAATTACGCTATTTATTTATTTATTTATTTATTTTAGTGGAGGTACTGGGGATTGAACCCAGGACCTTGTGCATGCTAAGCATGCACTCTACCACTGAGCTATACCCTCCTACCCTGTTCATTTTTCTTCATGCTTTTTTTCTTTCTGTTCCTCTGATTGGATGATCTCTACTGATCTACCTTCAAGTTCACTGATTCTTCCTGTTCCCAGTTCACGTTTGGTGTTGGACCTCTGTAGTGAAATTTTCATTTCAGGTATTGTGTTTTTCAACTCAATTTCTATTGGCCTTTTTAAATTGTTTCTGTCTTTGTATTGATAATCTCAACCTGGTGAGCCATTGTCGTCATATTTTTAAAAAATCTTTAACCATGGTTTTTTGTTGTTGTTGTTGTTGTTGTTGTTGTTTGAACATATTTACAATAGCTGCTTTGAATTCTTTGTCTGCTAAATCCAAACCTGAGCCCCCCTCAAGGGCAGTTTCTACAAACCACTTTTTTCCCCTGTGCATGGCCCACTTACATTTTTGTGTTTCTTTGAATGTCTCATAATTTTTTAACGAATGCCGGGCATTTTAGACAACATGCTTTCGAACTGCTGGACTCTGAGCCCTCCCCGCCTCACTGGCGGGCTGTTCCTGGCGCTGCTGTTCGTTTGCCCATACCTGGCTTGGATGAACTCCGCACAGCCTGTCCCCTCTGCAGTGTGTGACCCCTGGTAGCTACTAGATTTTTTTAAACACTTTTTTCCCTGCTGCAGATGATTACTTCCCATGAAGGAAGCACCCTTTGACCCTCACTCTAAAAAAATCCTTTTTTATATGTAAGTCTGGCTTCCTCAGACTTGTCCTTGGATCATTATAGTTCAGTGGCCAGCCAGTTACTGTTCAGAGATTGTTTAACAAACTGAACCAATAAAGCCTCCACCCTCTGCTGATGGCTCCGTGTATAGGCTAGTTTACGTACGCAGTTTGCAGTCTGGGCCTGGCTTTTACTTTTGGCTTGCACAAAGCCTCATATTCAGCCAGAGAGGAGTGTATAGCTGGGGCCCTTTCTGGTCTTTCCATACTGTAGGAACAGCCTTGCAGACTACAGAGGGCATCTTACCAATGTCCACCGTGGCTGTCGTAGTCACTGACCTTCCTTGTTAAGTTCTGCCGGGGCTATTGCTCCAACCAGCACCACGGCCCGGGCAGCTGAGGTCTAGGCCTCTACCCGGTTGTTTGCTACTGTGATTGCAACTGTTTTTGACAAACACTCTTTGGAGCTTTCCTCCTTCCCCAGTCCTTCTTCCAGTGTCTGTAGGAACTTCAAGTCCTCAAGGCCTACCTTGCTGTGGTGTAATTACCATGGGGAGGGAGCAAATAAAAGAGGCTGGATACTAAAACTCCAGGGACTCCCCCCCGTTCTTACAGATGTTCAATGCTTTCTTTTCTTTTCTTTTTTAGTAAGTGCTTTTCAAACATTGTATGTGTTTGGTCAACTTTCAGAGTCCTGGAATGGTTGCTTTTAAAAATTCTGTCCAGTTTCGTCATTGCTTTTTTGGGAGGAGATTTGGTCAGCCCTTCCATCTGCTACTCCAGAAATCTCCCCCACATACAAAAACTTAAATTTTCTAGTAGCTATACAGAAAAAGATAGAAAGATGAAGTTAGTTTTAATGATGTATTTAACCTAACTTAATATAAAACATTATTCCAACAGGTAATCAACACTTTAAAAATTACAAATGAACTATTTTACTTTTCTTCCTGCTCAGCCTTTGAAACCTGGGGTGGGGTGCCTTTTTACTGCTACAGCGCATCTTCGTTTGGACCAGCCACGTTCAAGCACCGTCGAGATGTGGCTGCTGGCTGCCACGCTGGCCGGGCAAGGACGGCGGTTTGGCACCGGGAACCTGCTGCTTTCCAGGCGTGTCAGTGACGCGCGGTCGTGCTGAGGAGCCCCGATCCTCCGGGAGCGTCGGACCCTTCAAGGCTGAGATGGTACAATGAAACTCGG